ATATTCAGACTCAAGTCGCTAATCAAACAAACCATACGAAAATGTCGAATCTGCTCAATTCATAAAAAACAAACCCAAACTCAAATAATGACTTCGCTACCACCCGAACGTACTTTTCTTTCTCGACACTTTACAAACTCAGGGGTAGACTTTGCAGGACCCTTTAACTTTAAAAGTTATTCAGGAAGAGCCTGCTTTATTACAAAAGGCTATGTGTGCCTGTTTGTTTGTATCGCCACTAAGGCTATACATTTAGAACCCACAAGCGATATTTCGACATATGCCTTTCTTGCTGCTTTTTCTAGGTTTATTAGTCGGCGAGGTTGTCCTTCTTGTATATTTTCGGACAATGGAACTAACTTTGTGGGAGCGGCAGATCTATTAAAGCGAGATAGATTAACTTTCATGAAGAATATTCAAAATAGCACAATTCCTCCTTGTGCTCCGCACATGGGCCGCTTGTGGGAAGCTGGTGTTAAATCATTTAAAATTCATTTGTGAAAAATTACCCTAAAAATGAATTTCACTTTTGAAGAATTTACAACTATTTTAGCAAGAATTGAAGGCTGTCTTAATTCGCGAATCTTAAGTCCTGTTAGCGACGACCCAAATGACCTTTCCCCTTTGACACCTGGTCATTTCTTAATAGGATCACCTATTCTTATCACAGCTGAACCAGACATTTCAGATACAGATCTAAGCTTAGTCAATAGTTGGAAAAGACTCAAAGTTATTTCACAATACTTTTGTAACAGATGGAAATTAGAATATCTTCACGAACTTCACAGAAGAACTAAGTGGAAATATGAAAAAGAGAATATTAAAGAAGGAGATTTAGTTGTCGTAAAAGATGATAGATTGGCTCCGCATGAATGGAAGTTAGGTCGTATCGAAAAAACGTATCCAGGTAGTGACCAAAATACCAGGGATCAAGTGGCAACATTAGCAGACCCATAACAAAAATTGTCAAATTGTTTTCAGACTGACTAGTCGGATTCTCACTCAAAAAATAACTTAGTTCTCGCCTCAATTTCTTTTCAGATATGGCCGCTTACTTGCCTAACCAGGACTGCCGTCTGGACGATCGCAATCGTAGCCCAGACTCACCTGCCCGTCCAACAGCAAGAAGCGCCAATAGACCCATACGGCCAATCCAAAGTCCCAGTTCCACATCCGCTGAAAGGCGACAGAGAAGTCGATCCGACGTAAGACCCCGCCAAGAAAGACCAAGTTACTGGCAATATTCATGTGGGCTCTGCCAAGATGACCATTCCCTCAGTGCCTGTGAGAGGTTTCGCCGGCAGACGCCCTTCCAGCGGTATGAGACAGTGGAGCGTCGGGGGTATTGCGAAATTGCCTGGCTAGAAGTCATTTGGCCCCCGACTGCCCGTCCTTAACTGGTTGCCGGAGATGCAATGACCGGCACCATAATCTACTGCATGGGGCGTCTCAATTGGACGAGGTATCCTTCAACATAGAAGCCGTCACCACCCCAATCTTCGCATGGGATTTGTTTTTTGTACCGACGGCGATGGTACGCATATCGGCCGAGGGCATGGAGGGGTTTAGCATGCTGCGAGCCATTATTAGCCAATCTGCGACGATGTCTAAGATTTCGTATGCCGCGTTCCGTCGCCTGGGTCTGCAGTCGCGGAGCTACAAAGGGGAGCGATTCACCACCTTCACCGTTTCGCCCCGCCGCACAAACAGTACTTGGAGTCTGAAGGTAAATGCAGTAATTATCGAAGTTCTGCCAAGACGCATTCACTCGGACCCAATACTAGAAGACCCCACTAGATGCTTCACGAGCTACGCCCTAGCTGACCCTGATCCCAGATGAAATAGTCCGGTCGATGTGGAACTGGGAGCGGACACGTACTCTGCCATAAGAAAAGATGGGTGGACAGCAGCTGGAATTGGAGATGTCCTGGCCTACAATACACAACTGGGCTACGTGTTTGCTGGGCCCATCAAAAATATGAAGAGGAATTAAAAAAACGAGAATTTTTATGGTATATTACAAATGAATACTTACACTTGTCATCCGGGGCCCAGAAAAAGTTCATAAATTAACGCAATTTTGCCCAACACTGTTGGTTGAGTAATTACCGGCGGCTGGTTTGATGTGACGATGCAAATTGGACAATAATTAGTTCTCATGTAATTACCGTCGCGAAGACAATTTTCCCACCGTGTGACAAGTACTAGTGAACAAAACAAAACCTAATAATCTTGAAATTAAAAAAAGAAACAGTGAACATTTAATCATAAACACAACAAAAAAGCAAGAACATTGTTAATATTAAAAAGTGAACAAATAGTACAAATAAATTGTGAAATTGTATAACTTATGTGCTAAAATCTACAAACTAATGAATTAAAACTACCCTTATAATTTAAACAGGCAAAAAAGATAAACGTAAAAAAACAGGCTATATAAATTTTTGAAACTTCACTTCGGTTCAGATTTGGATATAGCTCCCACATATATATATATATATATATATATATATATATATATATATATATATATATATATATATATATATATATACGTACATATATATATATATATATATATATATATATATATATATATATATATATATATATATATATATATATATACGTACATATATATATATATATATATATATATATATATATATATATATATATATATATATATATATATATATATATCACTCTTGCTGAATTTAATTGGAACCAAATACATACATCAAATAGACGAAATAAATCAAAAAATATATTTGGGAGCTATATCCAAATCTGAACCGATATATATATATATATTTCGAATTTATTAATTTCATAGCAAATGCCAAGCGTGCAGGAAACTGCAATCTTTTTCTTTTGAGGTTGAGTGGCATATATATATATATATATATATATATATATATATATATATATATATATATATATATATATATATATATATATATATGCCACTCAACCTCAAAAGAAAAAGATTGCAGTTTCCTGCACGCTTGGCATTTGCTATGAAATTAATAAATTCGAAAGACAAACCTTCGTGTATGCGGACTAAATTTGTCATGTTCCTGCTGGTTGGTATACACAGCCATTTGTTTCTTTACGCATTTAAGTATTACAATAGTAACGATTTTTATTTCTTTTTTTTGTTTTTTTCTCAAAAGGTTTTATTTAGCTCCCCCCGTTTGTTTTATTATTTATTCTTGGGTCAAATGTAGTAATTCAAATTCCGCCATCTTCCTGACAACCGATTAATCTGAAATTTTGTATACACTTTGGATTTTGGTGACAATACAAATATGTTTATTAATTATCATAAATTCAAGATGGCGGCTGCTACCAAATCAATCCCATCAATATGGGTATCAAATGAAAGGGCTCAACAAGCAGAATACAATATACTATAAAAATTGAAATCCAAGATGACGGCCGCTAAAAATGGCTGATACCAATTTTTTATCAATTCCACCAATATGGGTATCAAATAAAAGGTCATGGAAAGAAGAATACATTATACTAGGTTCAATATTTAAGATGGCTCAGCCACTAAATGGCGTATAATAATAAGATTTAAATTTAGAAATTGCATCTGTAATTCTGGTATCTGATTAATCCAGCCTGATTCCACCCATCAAGTCAAGATTTTGTATCGTGTTCAGGATTGTTTCGTTAGGGCGGCTAAAATTGTCAACCGTTTAAATGTCCATATTCGTGGGAACAAAATGGTACAAAAATATAAAATATGAATTAAACAAAATGCGAAATAAAGACTAAAAACTAGAAAATAAAAAATAGGTAAAAAACTTTTAAAGTTAAAAGGTTTTATGTTAAACATACATTGCAATGTTTAAGATAAATGTACTAAAAACCAAAAAATAATAAAAAATACATACAGTCGTGGGAATTATAAACATATGCATAGACTTGACTAAAATAAAACCGTGGGGCACGTCAATTCTCTACAATATGCATATGCAATTGAGGTACCGTTGGATGGGGGCTATACGAAGACGTGGACCTGCACAGACAGTTTTCTGTCTTAGGCTGTAGTATCCATTTCAAACTTCAAATACCAAATTTGAAACAATTCCGGTTAATAATGTCGCTAAAATCATCAAAATACCGAATATAGGGAGGTACCGTTCTATGGGGGCTATACGAAGACGTGGACCTGCACAGACAGTTTTCTGTCTAAGGTTGTAGTATCCATTTCGAACTTCAAATACCAAATTTGAAACAATTCCGGTTAATAATGTCGCTAAAATCATCATAATACCGAATATAGGGAGGTACCGTTATATGGGGGCTATACGAAGACGTGGACTTGCACAGACAGTCTTCTGTCTAAGGCTGTAGTATCCATTTCGAACTTCAAATACCAAATTTGAAACAAATCCGGTTAATAATAATGTCGCTAAAATCATCAAAATACCGAATATCGGGAGGTACCGTTATATGAAGGCTATATGAAAACGTGGACCTACATCGCCCATTTACGAACTTAACCTGCCTACTGGAAAAATAAACACGTGTGCAAAATTTTAGCCTTCTATCTCAATTCTCTCGAAAGATAGAGTGATTACAACAGACAGACAGACGGACATGGCTAAATCGACTTCGAATTTTAAGCTGATGAAGAATATATATACTTTGTTGGGTCTGACATGAGTATTTTAAGCTGATGAAGAATATATATACTTTGTTGGGTCTGACATGAGTATTTCGAGGAGTTACAAACGGAATGACAAAGTTAATATACCCTCCATAGAATGGTGGAGGGTATAATAAAATAAAAATGTTTCTATTCAACGAATATTGCAAGTAAACAAATATAAAGAACACATTAAATCGTGTGCCACCTCCATTTATGACATTTAATTTGTTAATCAGCTGGTTTCACGTGGAACCTTATAACTGTGTCATCTATATGGATATTTTTGTTTTATCTCGCGCAGACGCATATTTTTTATTTTTTGAATATTGTCCTTTCATTATAATACACATCTTATGTACTGTTTACGAAGTGTTAAATAGGCCACAGATAGAGGAATAATATATACATGTAATTAGGGGTTGTACAAAATACATAAAAATAAAAGCAGTGCGTAATTGTTCTGAATGTATAAAATATTGTGTATAAAATATCAGCCGTTATTTACATAGTTTGCTAGTTTTTCTGACTTGTAACCAACATGCCTATCGGAAATATTTTCAAGAAAGCATCAAGTTTTATACTAGGTGATGAGAAAAGTGAAAAAATCGATATTTCATATGAAGATAACGAAATACTTTTTTGCAAAAATAACGTTTGTATTCACCCACCTATTGTGGCTAGACAACAGTGCGACATATTGCATTATCCAGGGTATTTAACAGTTACAACGAAAACCTTTACTGATCAACACAACAGCGCTAAACGGCCAACGTTGTTTTTATCATGGATTCCAAATTCGTCATTGTGCAAATATCCATATTCGGAGGAAATGGCTTCTTCTCAATGCCATTCAAGTCAGAATATAGTAACGGAAATCCATCCAAACATCGAAGTCGTAGCCAAACATGACAATGTGGGCAACCCCTCTAGTGATGACCCCAACGTTGAATCAAATTTAACCATTAAAGATGATGATGTCGCAACAAGTTCCGATATGCGAGAACTTCGAAACGAATTGCAGCCCCTTTTAGGAGGAAAGAAGGCATCATTGCACGATTTGGAAGCATTAATTAAAAAAAATCCTATAACTTCTGTGAATATAACTATTTCCAATCCACAAATTGAAAATGCAAATATACCACAAACATACAATTGTATTGTAGTTAATGAAAGGAATAGTCACCATGTGGAATCTGATGGATCTGTTTCAGATGACAATAATCCAAATTGGATGACACCCGAGTTGCTGGCCTTTAAGCATAATCTTGCATTTCCAGATAGCACAAATAGTACTCCAACAATACGTCGGAAATCAACCATGAAATGTAGAAGATTTTCCGTGGATTTGAGTCAGATGCGTTCTCTACGGTTATTTTTTAACGATAACTATTGTACATCAGGACAGCTAGTAATAGCTTCAAGGGAATCCCAATATAAAATTTTACATTTTCACTACGGAGGACTTGATCATTTAGCACAGGTAAATAAAAATAATTTATTCAACTAATCAATAGGCTAAAATTACAAAAAAAACTTTTCTGGGGACTTGATATGTCAAAATTGTAAGCAAGGCGAATTAAATTGACATATAGAATTCGAGGCAAATTGTTTTGCACCAATCCATGGTAGAAATACCATTTAGCAATATAGGCGAAAATTGGAACAACTCTATTTTTTCCAGAGGTAGGTATTTTTACCCTGATTCCGGGAAACTTTGTTTTTCTTGGGGGACGGACCCGGGACCACAAATTTTGATCCGAAAATCCAGGTTCAAGTCCCGGCCTGGACCCGGATCCATTTACCCGACATAGGGGTCAACAAAATTGATGCCGAATTATAGCTGACGCTCTTACCTTTCCAAAATGCTACAATTTGTACTAATACCTTTTTCGGGTCCGTAGATATGGGTCTTTCCATCCGCATAACCCGATTATAACAAGTTCATTAAAATTATGTTTTCAATAAAAAAAAGTTTTATTTCGCGTAGCCGTCGTTGGAATTACAAAAGTTTTCTAAATTTGACACTTTTGTAAATAGACGGCCTTCGGCCGGGGCTTTAGATTTTCTCCTCTGAGTTGTCCTACACCGGCTAACGCGAACCATAGTTTTCTAAATTTGATAATATTTGTAAATAGCCGGCCTTCGGTCGGCGCTTGATATTTTCTCCTCTGAGTATGTCCAACACCGGCTAACGGGAACCAAAGTTTTCTAAAGTTTGTGCTTTTGTATCCAATGACGGCAACGCGAAATAACCTTTTTTTATTGAAAAGGTAATTATTATTATAATAATGAACTGGTTAAAATCGGGTTATGCGGATGGAAAGACCCATATCTCTGGACCCGAAAAAGGTATTAGCACAAATGGTAGCAATTGTAAAAATATATATTTTTAAATACATTGTACATACCAGAGATGGGAACCTGTTTTCTATGCAGCGAAATTTAACAGAAATAAAGAGATGGATATGCTTATTTGAAATGACTACCTTCTGTATTTTACAATGGGTTTAGATATGTCTTATGTTAATTTCCAACAGTGTTTGTGTCGAACTGTACAGATTTTTTCACAAAACTAGAATCCCCAATAAAATTATATTCCGATTGCATTCCTATTATTTATATAAAAGATTCACACCGCATTATGTTAATAGTTTTGTGAGGACATCTGGGAGTACTGTAAGTACTGTTAATGCTCATTTTGGTGTAGCTATTAAATAAAGATGTGTAATTTCAATTACTAACGTTTCAGTCGCATTTTCAGAAGAATAGTGCAAATTATTTAACATTATCCGTACTCTGATCTCATAGAGCGTGGAAAGGCAGACTTATTCCGATTTTCTCGATTAACTCTCAGTTGTCTTCATCTACATTTTCAAATCAAAAATTTTTTATGTGCATTTGTGTGGCGAATTCAAATTACAGCCATGGTAGAATTAAGAAGGTAAAGTCATTTCAAATAAGCATTCCCATCTCTGCATTTTCTGTAATATACCTTGTCACATTTCAGTACATAAAAACAGGTTCCTATCTCTGATTTTGTGTTTATAGAATAGATTTATGAATATAAATTTTTACAATGAGATGTTGTCAAATGAGTAATTTTAAAAAAAAACTTTTAAACATATGATTGCATGACTTTAGCTTCTTAATTCTACCATGATTAAAACAATTTGGCTGACATATCAAGTTGCCACCAGCTGTTCTGATAGGGTTACCTTGTAATTCTACCATGCGCCAATCAGAACATTTTTTTGGAACATTGAATAATTTTGTTTTTGTTTATTGAAATTACAAAATTTTAAATTTTGCAAGAACATTTTGTTTCTTTTTGAGTTGTAATGATTGATACGGTTTCAGATTTTAACGAAGTGGGAAAGAAGAACTAAAATCAATTGGAACAGATTTCATAAAAAGTCCAAGAATTCGAAGTCAGAAAAGAAATAAAGAAGTCTCCTTCAATATGTGGTAAATTATCGACTTTAGCCACAATTTCAAACTGAATTGTTCGAAGTGTTCCTAATGGGTTCTATTTCATTTAGCAGTTTATTGTCTATATAAGTCCACGTTTTCTTATAGTCTCTATATAACAATATCTACCGATATTCGGTATTTGGACGATTTCAGGCATATTTTTAAACGGAATTGTTTAATATTCGGTACTGAGGATTCGAAATGTGTTCTACCTCTTTTGACAGATTATTGTTTTCCAAGGGAGGCTTGGAACGGTACCTCATGATATTTTTTATTTTTGTGATTTTAGCCACATTGTTCAGGGGATTCGTTTAAAATTCGGTATATATAGTCTGTTATATGTTTCGTCTTCTGTGGCAGAAGACTGCTGGAATATGCCCATTATTTCTTATATCACGAGCAAACTTTGGTGATTTAGGCACACTTTAACACAAAATCTGGTATTTAAAACTCGCTATAAGTAACATAAAATGTAGAAAGAAACCTTTACAGTATTTTAAAGACTTTTTACCAACCCATTTCAATAACAAAAATGAAAGTGGACCCAATATTCTATCCCGATACTTTTATTTTAATGTTTGTCTTTACCTCTGGTGGAGGAATTTAAAATTCGGGCCTGCCGGTTTTAACGATTTGTTACTTCTTTTGGCTTAACTCTCTAAAATTCTTCAATTTTTTCCAGTGGTAGGTATTATTAACATGATCCCGGAAAACTATTTTTTTCTTAGGGGACGGACCCTGGACCCCAGGATTTTTGACACGGGTTCAAGACCCGGTCCTACTTATGAAATAACCTATCCAACAAGTGGTCGCATGATGGGGTAATTTTTATAAAACCCCCAAAAAGTCGAAAAGAGCAAATTATTGACTGACACTCTTAGCTACAATATGTGCTAATACTTTTTCTGGTTCCAGATATATGTGTCTTTCCACCCGCATAAGCCGATTCTAAACAGTTCAATAAAATTATGTTTTCAATAAAAAAGGTTTATTTCGCGGCGTTCGAATTACAAAAGTGTCAAATTTAGAAAACTTTGGTTCGCGTTCGCCGGTGTGAACATATCCAGAGTAGAAAATCTCAAGCCCCGGCCGAAGGTCGTCTACTTAGGCTAGGTTATGTTGAAAAGAGGGGCGAAACAATTGGCCGCATGCCCTGATGGAATACACTTAAGCCAGTTGTGCGCTCTAGACTAAACGTTTTCTTTGAAAGAAGACGGGCAGTTTACAGTCTGTTATATTCGAAATTCAGTTGCCTGAATAAAATTTCCTAACTGTTTTATATCATTTACCATGATCTGATTAAGGTCTGGTACGGAGTCGTTCGCTAAGAATTGGGATCTGATATTAGCAAACGCTGGGCATTGACAGAGGAAATGTTCCAATGTTTCGTCATTTTCTCCGCATGCCCTGCATATGCTGTTATAAGCACTTCCATCTTGTACAGATGAGCTTATACCCCACAAATCTCTCCTTACCTAGTAATAGAAAGTTTTTCGTTCTTATCTCATTGGAGCCGACCCATAGGATTTTTGTGGTTTTCCCTACGCCCTCATTCTTACATAGGGATATGTGGGCGTTTTTTTGCCCATGCCTTTAACACTAGACGTGACGCCTTAGACGGCACTGGATTGTCTAAGTTTATTGTTGCTAATTCCCTGCCTGTTTTGGCGGGAGTGTTCGCTATCTCATATAACGCGTACTGAGCCCATGTAACGCGTACTGAGCCGTGTTGAGAGTAGTTGTTGTTACCTGTAAAAATTGTTGATGGTATGTAACGTGGCCTTTACCTATCCACTCGTCCGTCGCACTAAGCCTTATGGCCGCGACGACCGCTTTATACCGTATCTGAATAACTATTGGGTGCACAAATAGATGTGTCTCGAATGCCCTAGTTGGTGTTCTCCTCCTTGCGCCACAAATACTTAAGCAGCACATTCGTTAGACTTTCCGTAATATTTTGGTGTTACAATTTATAGATATCCCACAGACTACCTATGCGTATGTTAGAACAGGTCTAATTATGTTTTTGAATAGACAGTGTGTCATATATATAGATTGAAACCCCATTTTGTGCCTATAGCCCTCTAGCATGTTGTCCAACATCTTTGAGCTTTGTTTGCTCTGTCATGGATGTGGTCTATTCACTTATGTTTCCTATCTATAATCACACCCAGATATTTAACCTTATTGGAAATGTTGATTGTCTTGTTCAGGAAGATTGGTTCATCGAAGTACCCCAGTTTTCTTTTCCTAGTGAAAAGATATATCTTAGTTTTTTTTTTTTCGGGTTAACGTTAAGACCACTTGGTCTGGCCCAGATGTATTCAGGTTTCAAAACTTCAGTTCACGTAGCCGAATCCGAAAAAGGTATTAGCACAAACTGTAAAATTTTGAAAAGGTAAGAGTGTCAGCTATAATTTGGCATCTATTTTGTTGACCCCCATAATGGGCTCTATTTCGACTTATTGGTGTTTTTATAATAAATCCTGGTCCAAAAAATCGATAATTTGACTATGACTTCCAAACCGCTTATAAACAACCACATTATGTGACCATTCATAACGCATCATGTGACCATTCATAAACGATGCATTGTCTATAAGATTGGTTTTGCTACTATCTGATAATAAGTGTACCATGGAAAAAATTCCGTACAAAATATTGATATAGGGTCGTTTGACTTCCTCATTTTAAATTTGTTATTCCTATGACCACTTCAAATAAAAATGTATGATTATGGATATGTTGCCCCCCATTAGTATAACTCATTTCCTATCGATACACGCAGAGTAGTAGTCAATATTAACATATAGGCTGAAGCAATAACAAGTTAAAAAGCAGTAAGTTCGACCGGGCCGAACTTTGAATACCCTCCACCATTTGGAATGAATTTGAATATAAAATCCTTAAAAAAAAATTGTTAACATTTTAAAAATACCGAATATAGCCGTTATACTGGTGTCTATACGATGTGGGCCTACATAGGCATTTGTTATAAGTCATTACCATATTCAAATTCGAAACTTGAAATAAACGGTAAATAATGTAACAAAAATCATCATAACCATTCTGCCATAGGCTGTAGCATTTATTACGAACTTCAAATACACGTCTCAATAAAATACCGAATATAGGGAGGTACTGGTATGTGGGGCTTACACGAAGACCTGGACCTGCATACACAATTTTCTGTCACAGACTGTAGTTCCCATTATGAACTCCAAATACGTAATTTGAAACAATTCCGGTGAATAATGACGCTAAAATAATCAAAATACCGAATATAGGGAGGTACCGTTATATGGGGGCTATACGAAGACGTGGACCTGCACAGACAGTTTTCTGTCTTAGGCTGTAGTATCCATTTCGAACTTCAAATACCAAATTTGAAACAATTCCGGTTAATAATGTCGCTAAAATCATCAAAATACCGAATATAGGGATTACAACAGACAGACGGACAGACAGACAGACAGACGGACATGGCTAAATCGACTTCGAATTTTACGTTAAGACCGCTGATCAAGAATATTATACTTTGTTGGGTCTAACATGAGTATTTCGAGGAGTTACAAACGGAATGACAAAGTTAATATACCCTCCATAGTATGGTGGAGGGTATAAAAAATGATTAGGTTTTCTTGCCCTCTTTTCGCTAGTAACAAGAATGAGTACAAAAAATATAGGTAAAATTAAATCGCAAAAAGTCGACAACCCTTTTGATATCGGTAGTACTGAGCGACTACTATATTTTGGTCGCCAACTTCGTTAATTACTGAAATTATACGCATTTACATTTTAACGATTTAAGCATGGTAGAATTAAGAAGGTAAAGTCATGCAATCATATGTTTACATTTTTTCAAAATTATTCATTTGATTCAAAATTTATGTTTACAAATCCATTGCGTACACACAAATCAGAGACGAAACCCTGTTTTCTTTGCAGAGAAATTTGACAAGGTAAATTACAGAAAATGCAGAGATGGGTATGCTTATTTAAAATGACTTTACCTTCTTAATTTTACCATGGAGAATCGCACTACAGCTCATCGATAAAAGTGAAATTATAATTTTCTCTACTGTACGGTCAACATTATTCTTCCGATATAGTATATATGTGGAAGTTGGAAATTTCAAAGCATAAATAATATAGTATGCTATACTAGCTGAGCCGGAATGCAATGCTGACATATAGTTTTAATGTTTAATGCTTATTTTTAAGAATTTAATATCCTACAAAACTTTCTTACATAAGTAGTAACCATATAGAACTTCTCTTTTAGACTTTTCTAAAAATGTTGGCATGCAACTGTAGTCAATCTTACAATTCGTCAGTTTTTCATGGTCAAAGATTATTAATGTTTTCCTTGTTTTGCAGGTTATTGCTGCATTCTTTCCACTTCTTTAAGGTGCATAAAATTCATGATCAATAAAGAAAATTGTACATATATACTAGGTTAGGTTAGTTTAAAGGACGCGCGGTTGCCGTTTGGTAACTGCTCCACTCGGAGACCTTCCAGTCCAGTCACCTTATTGTGGTATATATAGGGTTCCTGAACCATGGCTATATCTACTTCCTCTTTTGTGAGGGATAGTAGGAGTTCGGCCACAGCTGCTTTACAGTGATGCAGATTAATCCGCATGGTTCTATATAGCTGCTGTTTCCTTCCTCCTAATGCAGAGGCGTACCACGAACTTGAAGATAATCCTGGCCATCCGTATCAATAGATACATTGATGACCAGACCACCCCCCTCAGTGCTTGAACGCCAGTTGTCTGTTCTGAGGTTGGGATTTTTTTCCTGAGCGTGCCGGATCCACCGATGGTGGTGGCACACACGCTGTCAATACATTACGGTAGGGAATCTTCTTCTCGTGAAAGCCAGCTAATGTGGTGATCATGAATTCTTAAGATTCCTCGTTTTCACAGCAAATAAATACATCAGAACAGCTAGTAATAGCTTCAAGGGAATCCCAATATAAAATTTTACATTTTCACTACGGAGGACTTGATCATTTAGCACAGGTAAATAAAAATAATTTATTCAACTAATCAATAGGCTAATATTACAAAAAAAAACTTTTCTGGGGACTTGATATGTCAAAATTGTAAGCAAGGCGAATTCAATTGACATAGAATTCGAGGCAAATTGTTTTGCACCAATCCATGGTAGAAATACCATGTAGCAACATAGGCGAAAATTGGAACAACTCTATTTTTTGCAGAGGTAGGTATTTTTACCCTGATTCCGGGAAACTATGTTTTTCTTGGGGGACGGGCCCGGGACCACAAATTTTGATCCGAAAATCCGGGTTCAAGACCCGGCCTCGACCCGGATCCATTTACCCGATATAGGGGTCAACAAAATTGATGCCGAATTATAGCTGACGCTCTTACCTTTCCAAAATGCTACAATTTGTACTAATACCTTTTTCGGGTCCGTAGATATGGGTCTTTCCATCCGCATAACCCGATTCTAACAAGTTCATTAAAATTATGTTTTCAATAAAAAAAGTTTTATTTCGCGTAGCCGTCGTTGGAATTACAAAAGTTGTCTAAATTTGACACTTTTTGTAAATAGACGGCCTTCGGCCGGGGCTTTAGACTTTCTCCTCTGAGTTGTCCTACACCGGCTAACGCGAACTAAAGTTTTCTAAATTTGATAATTTTTGTAAATAGTCGGCCTTCGGTCGGCGCTTGATATTTTCTCCTCTGAGTATGTCCAACACCGGCTAACGGGAACCAAAGTGCAAAAAAATGCATAGACATCAACAAATGAATAGAAAAAATGAAATATATACTTAATAATCCCAATTTATTGGTGATTATCATAAAATGTTGGTCATAAAATAGAGGTAAATATTGTTTGCCTATTTTCTATCTACATATAGTGTTCTTTTAAAATTAAAGTTTGTGGCAGAGATTTGACTCTCATTCAATAACAGAATATGCACAGAATTGAACAATGCAAGTATATAGTGTTGTTACGTGAATTACAGTAGCACTCATTCTCATTTACACCTCAATACCGGAGGCAAACATTTATGAAATTATAATCAAAATAAGAAAAATTTTCAGGGGATTATTGTTTTGTAACCACGAAATGTGAAAATTTTGTGTGGACCAATTAGAAGTGCCTTTAATATTTTAGTATTCGCCAAGAAATTCTTTATTACAAAAAATTTATTTTTTCACATATCGGAAAAGCAGGTAGCGATTGCGCTTTGCCTTCATCACGTGTGTGTCTTTTTCGTTGGCAATTGTTTGATAATTGTTGTTGTTTTTTTGATAGAACATTTTTGTATGACACACTATTCAACATTCCCTTTTATTGGTCATTACATGTTATGACGATGGGTTTGAGTGTGACCGACATGACGAGACATCGAGCATTTGGGTGGATGTCACGTACTGTTATGCGTTTGATCAAACAGGGTACAACATGACGAGCGTTTTCTCTCCATGGCATAAATAGAAAAAAGTGTCACATTTGCAGCCCTTTATTTTGTATCCAATGACGGCAACGCGAAATAACCTTTTTTTTTTTATTGAAAACGTAATTATTATTATAATAATGAACTGGTTAAAATCGGGTTATGAGGATGGAAAGACCCATATCTCTGGACCCGAAAAAGGTATTAGCACAAATTGTAGCAATTGTAAAAATATATATTTTTAAATCCATTGTACATACCAGAGATGGGAACCTGTTTTCTATGCAGCGAAATTTAACAAGATAAATTACAGAAATAAAGAGATGCTTATTTGCTTATTTGAAATGACTACCTTCTTAATTTTACAATGGGTTTAGATATGTCTTAGGTTAATTTCCAACAGTGTTTGTGTCGAACTGTACAGAGTTTTTCACAAAACTAGAATCCCCAATAAAATGATATTCCGATTGCATTCCGATTATTTATATAAAAGATTCACACCGCATTATGTTAATAGTTTTATGAGGACATCTGGGAGTACTGTAAGTACTGTTAATGTTCATTTTGGTGTAGCTATTAAATAAAGATGTGTAATTTCAATTACTAACGTTTCACTCGCATTTTCAGAAGAATAGTGCAAATTATTTAACATTATCCGTACTCTGATCTCATAGAGCGTGGAAAGGTAGACTTATTCCGATTTTCTCGATTAACTCTCGGTTGTCTTCATCTAAATTTTCAAATCAAAAATTTCTTTATGTGCATTTGTGTGGCGAATTCAAATTACAGCCATAATAGAATTAAGAAGGTAAAGTAATTTCAAATAATCATTCCCATCTCTGCATTTTCTGTAATATACCTTGTCACATTTCAGTACATAAAAACAGGTTCCTGTCTCTGATTTTGTGTTTTTAGAATAGTTTTATGAATATAAATTTTGACAATGAGATGTTGTCAAATGAGTAATTTAAAAGAAAAAACTTTTAAACATATGATTGCATGACTTTATTTCTTAATTCTACCATGATTAAAACAATTTGGCTGACATATCAAGTTGCCACCAGTTTGGTAACTGCTCCACTCGGAGACCTTCTGGTCCATTGTGTTCATCCTAATAAAGAAAGTGAAAGAAAGAAAAAACCGTAAAATTTTATGACATTACTGATAGGAGATATAGTTATAAGTGTGGTCCACAGATAGAAATCATGCCGTGTTGTCTTTTGCCACTTAAGACTTCTGGCTAATTGAAGAATTACTGTAGGGTCAGTGTTGGAGAATGAAGATAAATTATGTGACACTTGTTCCCCCACCAACCTGTGCCTCACGTTAATGAGTGCTGGACAGTGGCAGAGCAAATGTTAGATCGCCTCAATTTCTTCTTCGTCTTGACAGATTCTGCCGTAGTCAGTATCATCGCTGTCCCGAGGCCCTCACCTTGCAGTGACCTGTGATGATACCTATCACATATTTTAAATCAGCTTTCGACAAGGACATTAGTGACTTTGTTCTCTTATCCGAGAGTATGGGCCAGATTCTTTTGCAGATGCTGCATCCCCTTTCGCCCAGCCATTTTTGTTGCATTCCCTCAGAGTAGTGTCTATGAATTACCTTTTTTTCAATGTACCCTACAACATCGTGTTGAGCTGTTTCAACGGATTTACGTTTCATGTAGGTATGTTGAGCAGTGCTGATGACATCGTACGGTAGGTAGATTAAGATGAGGACCCTCCCGGATTTAATCTCCAGTCTCGCCACTGTAGTATATCCTTCACTGAAATTATAAAGGAATATTAAGTTTAAACTCTTTTTCGATGCACTTCCTTACCTTGTCACCATTAAATTCTGCGTAAGAGACGTACTGCCCTCTCTCTAGTCCAGTCACCTTATTGTGGTATATATAGGGTTCCTGAACCATGGCTATATCTACTTCCTCTTTTGTGAGGGATAGTTCGGCTACGGCTGCTTTACAGTGATGCAGATTAATCCGCATGATTCTAAGTAGCTGCTGTTTCCTTCCTCCTAATGCAGAGGCGTACTACGAACTTGAAGATAATCCTGGTCATCCGTATCAATAGATACATTGATGACCAGACCACCCCCCTCAGTGCTTGAACGCCTGTTGTCTGTTCTGAGGTAGGGATTTTGTTTCCTGAGCGTGCCGGATCCACCGATGGTGGTGGCACCCACGCTGTCAATACCTTACAGTAGGGGATCTCCTTTAATGATACAGCCGCTAAGCCGCACCCTTGCCAAAGCTCGTGAAAGCCAGCTAATGTGGTGATCAGGAATTCTTTAGATTCCTCGTTTTCACAGCAAATAATTTTCACGCCATTGTAAACGGTAGCGCTGCCAAACTTTTTGCGTCCCCTTCTCCCAAAAAGACCAGTTCTCTGAGACGATCTTCAATTAGCAGCCCCTCGCTGATTTTACCTTCTGGCACAGTCTTATCGATGACCGCTACTTGAAGATTGTCCTGGTAGATGGTCTGGAAATGCTTCCTCGTCCGTCCTGTTTGGCTTGTCGATTGTGGCTTGACCGCTTCCCTGTGGCCCTTTCCAGGCTTAGAGCTTGTAGGGGCTACCGGAGTCGGCTTGATCACAATCGGGATGGGAGGCTTGAGCCGTAAATGCCTTCTGGGCCTCAGGATGTTTTTGATATATCGTATAATGCCTTCAAATTATGGTCTGTTGTCAGCGTTTGAAATGTTCGCATAGCATTAAATTGATACTTAGTATCTTAATAGCTATAGCATCTATCAAAAATATCTATAGCATCTATCCCATAATGTATGAAATCTGGATAAAAGTACAATTCTAAGTCGATTAAATTATATCCGTGTGCCTCTCCGCCCGAGTCGGCTCTGAAACTTGCATACAACTGAACCAGACCGAAAGGTCTTAACGTTAACACGGAAAAAACTGAGATATGTCTATTCACTAGGAAAAGAAAACTTGACCATTTCGTTGAACCGGTCTTTCTGAACAAGACAGTTAATATTTCCAATAAGTTTAAATATCGAGTGTGATTCTAGATAGGAAACTTAATTGGAGGGACCATACCCCCCAAAGAGCAAACTAAGCTCATAGATGTTGGGCAACGTGTAGAAAGGCCATAGGCTCTCAATTGGGTTTCACTCCAAAGATGACACACTGGCTATTCAAAAGCGTAACATACGTCAAAATACTACAGAAAGTCCAACGAATGTGTTGTTTAAGGATCTGCGGTGCAATGAGGACAACACCAACTAGGGCATTCGAGACAATTCTATTTGTATCAAACAGGATATCTGAAACTTTTGTAGCTGCCTCATGTGAAACGTTAATCCCTACCAGAGACTCGTGGTTTGGCGGATTCATAACATAAATGCCGACTGGAAACTGTTGTTATACAGAGGGCTCAGTGCTAGGGGAGAGGTCGGGACTGGGACTTTTTATCGAGGATACAAACACCTAAAACTCGTTCCGCTTGCCCGATCACAATACGATCCTGCAAGCGGAGGTTCGCGAATTGCTGAGTATCTGAACTGGCTTAATACTAACACGAGGCAGCTATAAGGGCTATAACATCCAAAACAGTAACTTCAAAAACTGCATTGGAATGTATAAATTCAATTAACAACTACTCTCAACACGGCGTAAAACGCATTATATGGGTACCAGGTCATACGGGAGTTAGGGGTAACGAGATAGCAAACTCTCTCGTCTAAACAGGCAGGGAATTAGCAACAATAAACGTAGACAATCCAGTACCGCTAAATGCGTCACGTCTAGTGTTACAGACATGGGCAAATAAGCACACAAATCCCTATTGAACAATGAGGGTGTAGTGAGAACCACAAAAATCTTATGGGGCGATCCCGATGAGATAAAAACGAAAAACATTTCGTTACTAGGTAAAATAGATCAGTGATGTAACAGGGATCCTTACGGGGCACCTGGGCCTACAAGCTCATCTGTAAAAGATAGGATGTGCAGAAAACAGCATATGCAGGGCATGTGAGTAAGATGGCGAAACATTGGAACATTTTCTCTGCCAATGCCCAGCGTTTGCAAATATCAGATCCCAATTCTTAGGGAACGACTCCAACTGAATTTCAAATATAACAGACTGTAAACTGCCCGCCTTCTTCAAAACCCTTAGTCTAGAGCGCACAATAGGCCTATACTGACTTAAGTATATGCCCAAGAGGGCATGCGGCGAATTGCTTCGCCCCTCCTTTCAACCTAACTTACCTACCCTAAAATTTGTAACAAGTGTTACAAATTGTTACTGGCTGTCTTTCTGGAAGTCTGTTAACCAGAAAGTTCTTCAAAAGAGAGCGCTTGGAGAGAGAAATTTTGACAGCTCTTTCAGTGAGAGGTTGCAAATTCTTGCTGGGCTTGTTTCTTCCTTCAATTACTTGCCACTCTTCTCCTTCTCATTCATTTTTTTTTTTTTTTTTGGAACTAGCAGGACTGATTGTGTTTGGAGAACAACTTAACAAAATGTGAAAAACGTAAATAATAACATGTAATAAGAAAATTAAAGACTATTTCAAACATTTTTAACAATTCCTAATATTTTGTACAAAACATTATAAAATCCTTTTCGATAATGCAATAGTCCAACAAATGGGAACGAGTAAAGAGACCAATTTTGACGGTTGAATTACTTAGAGCTTGCGAAGTTTTACAGGTAGTATTTATTATAATAGTTATCCAGTAACATCAGCTGATTATGATGATACATAATGGTCGATACAAAAACGTAAAATTTCATGCAATACAGTACATATTTTAATTATAATAGATAATAGACATTAAATATTGTTTTATGCCAATAAATAACACATTTTTCGCTCCAAAAATAATTAACTTTGGTTTAATTTTTTAACCATTTAAAAATGTAGATCTTACAGAGTGTTGTTTGATAACATTTTGAAAAATTTGCACGCGAGGGAAAACATTTTCTCAGTACAACTTGCTAAGCAATAGCGCGTATAGATATGTTTTTTTATTGGAACAATAACAAACATACTAAACATTTATTTTTTGATCGTAATCATTGGAAGATTAAATATTTTTGTTGCAGAATGTTACCAATTTGAATATGCACTTATTTTCCAACATCAATTGTCTATAATTAGGTTTCTTCATAACTTTTTTCAGTTTTTTTGCATTCTCTTTTGTTTGTGTATGTATACGTAAACAATTTATATCCTCCTAAAGGTGTACCACCATAGAAGAATACAGGTAATATAATATAATATAATATAATATAATATAATATAATATAATATAATATAATATAATATATATAATATAATATAATATAATATAATATAATATAATATAATATAATATAATAATATAATATAATAATATAATATAATATAATATAATATAATATAATATAATATAATATAATATAATATAATATAATATAATATAATATAATATAATATAATATAATATAATATAATATAATATAATATAATATAATATAATATAATATAATATATATATAATAACATGTAATAAAAAAATAAAAACTATTTCCAACATTTTTAACAATTCCTAATATTTTGTACAAAACATTATAAAATCCTTTTCGATAATGCAATAGTCCAACAAATGGGAACGAGTAAAGAGACCAATTTTGACGGTTGAATTACTTAGAGCTTGCGAAGTTTTACAGGTAGTATTTATTATAATAGTTATCCAGTAACATCAGCTGATTATGATGATACATAATGGCCGATACAAAAACGTAAAATTTCATGCAATACAGTACATATTTTAATTATAATAGATAATAGAAATTAAATATTGTTTTATGCCAATAAATAACACATTTTTCGCTCCAAAAATAATTAACTTTGGTTTAATTTTTTTAACCATTTAAAAATGTAGATCTTACAGAGTGTTGTTTGATAACATTTTGAAAAATTTGCACGCGAGGGAAAACATTTTCTCAGTACAACTTGCTAAGCAATAGCGCGTATAGATATGTTTTGTATTGGAACAATAACAAACATACTAAACATTTATTTGTTGATCGTAATCATTGGAAGATTAAATATTTTTGTTGCAGAATGTTACCAATTTGAATAAGCACTTATTTTCCAACATCAATTGTCTATAATTAGGTTTCTTCATAACTTTTTTCAGTTTTTTTGCATTCTCTTTTGTTTGTGTATGTATACGTAAACAATTTATATCCTCCTAAAGGTGTACCACCATAGAAGAATACAGGTAATATAATATATAATATAAACACTTATTTTGCAACATCACTTGTCTATATATTAGGTTTTTTCATAACTGTTTGCTGTTTTTTTGCATTCTCTTTTATTTGTGTATGTATACGTAAACAATTTATATCTCCTAACCACGATAGGAGAATACAGGTAATATAATATAATATAATATAATATAATATAATATAATATAATATAATATAATATAATATAATATAATATAATATAATATAATATAATATAATATAATATAATATAATATAATATAATATAATATAATATAATATAATATAATATAATATAATATAATATAATATAATACAATACAATACAATACAATACAATGCAATGCAATGCAATGCAATGCAATGCAATACAATATAATGTAATATAATATAATATAATATAATATAATATAATATAATATAATATAATATAATATAATATAATATAATATAATATAATATAATATAATATAATATAATATAATATAATATAATATAATATAATATAATATAATATAATATAATATATATAATATAATATAATATAATATAATATAATATAATATAATATATATAATATAATATAATATAATATAATATAATATAATATAATATAATATAATATAATATAATATAATATAATATATAATATAATATAATATAATATAATACAATATAATATAATACAATATAATATAATATAATATAATATAATATAATATAATACAATATAATATAATATAATATAATATAATATAATACAGTTATATGTTCCATGTCTTAGAAAGGCGAATTTTATTTATCTTGTTCTTAGCTTAAACATATAAAAATAGTGTTGTTAGTCTTCGTACTTGCCTTAGCTGCAGCAAAATGATAATTTGAAACAAACTGGGCTTAACTCTAGTTTAGTAAAAACTCTTCAATTTATTTACATATTTTCCAGTGGTAGGTCCTTTTACTCTGATCCCTGGAAACTTATTTTTACTGGGGGACGGGACCCCAGATTTTGGACCCGAAAGTCCGGGTTCAAGACCCCGACTTGACCAAATTATTTATTATGTGGACCCGGATTTTTTTATAAAACCGCCAAAAAGGGCCCATTGTGGGGGCTGACACCCTTACCTTTCCAAAATGCTACAATTTGTGCCAATACCTTTTCTGGTCTTGAACCCTGACTTTTAGGTCAAAAATCTGGGGTCCCGATTCCGTCCCATAAGAAAAAATAGGTCTGTGCTCGGATTGACCTGAAATTTTTACCACGTGTATATCTTTTTAACCTTTTGTTTTTTTAACGTTCGTCCATATTTAAGAAAGAAATACAACATTTAAATTTGACAATTTATGAACATTACATAAATAAATTGTAAAGGTCTGATTTCATGATATTTTCTTGTCCCAATGTCTATAAATCTAAGGAAATTATGTGAAATTTTTTGAGAGAGCATACTTAAAAATAATGTCTCTAAAAGTAAAATAAAAATGTCACGATATTGTATAAACACCAGAGCTACTAAATAGGAATAAGCAATCAAAAATCGTATTTGAAAGCAGCTCGATTCAAGTCCACATTTCTTCTTCTAGAAATATTATGTCAGATTTAAGTCGGCGATTCTCCAGCACGAACCTTTTCAATATGGTACGTCCCTATTTTTTCATTCTCTTGCGTTTGAGAATTGCGTATCGTCCATGGTTTGGCCGTCTAATAGGAGTTATAAGTCCAGCAAATAATACTCAAAAAACGACAAAGACGATTTAAATTATACTATTCAAAGAAAACATAATATAATTTAAATATGACGTTTGATTTAAAATGAATATCATGAATTTCATAATAATCTGAAACATTTCTTTCAAAAAAACTTCCCAATGCATTCAAAAAAAGAAAAAAAAAACCGAAAGACTCTCTCGATTGAATAAAAATTTTAAGATGTCTCCTCGTATCCTAAACGAACCTCATTTTCCTAAAATACTTTTCTGTCACATTTAAAATGCATTAAAAACATACTTAATGCTTCATGTCGAAACACTTCTGAATTGATATTGAAAAAAATCTAAAGGTGTTGGTACATAAGCAAATTATAAGCAACATTGTAAATTATAGGCCTTTTCCAGAACCTGCAAGACTCTACCAGTTTTGCAATTTTCTTCGATATCATAACCTTTTTTATTGACACTTTAAATTTTGATTTTTTAGAGTTTTATATAATTTTATATAATATCATATAATATAATATAATATAATATAATATAATATAATATAATATAATATAATATAATATAATATAATATAATATAATATAATATAATATAATATAATATAATACAATATAATATAATATAATATAATATAATATAATATAATATAATATAATATAATATAATATAATATAATATAATATAATATAATATAATATAATATAATATAATATAATATAATATGATATAATATAATATAATATAATATAATATAATATAATATAATATAATACAGTTATATGTTCCATGTCTTAGAAAGGCGAATTTTATTTATCTTGTTCTTAGCTTAAACATATAAAAATAGTGTTGTTAGTCTTCGTACTTGCCTTAGCTGCAGCAAAATGATAATTTGAAACAAAACTGGGCTTAACTCTAGTTTAGTAAAAACTCTTCAATTTATTTACATATTTTCCAGTGGTAGGTCCTTTTACTCTGATCCCTGGAAACTTATTTTTACTGGGGGACGGGACCCCAGATTTTGGACCCGAAAGTCCGGGTTCAAGACCCCGACTTGACCAAATTATTTATTATGTGGACCCGGATTTCTTTATAAAACCGCCAAAAAGGGCCCATTGTGGGGGCTGACACCCTTACCTTTCCAAAATGCTACAATTTGTGCCAATACCTTTTCTGGTCTTGAACCCTGACTTTTAGGTCAAAAATCTGGGGTCCCGATTCCGTCCCATAAGAAAAAATAGGTCTGTGCTCGGATTGACCTGAAATTTTTACCACGTGTATATCTTTTTAACCTTTTGTTTTTTTAACGTTCGTCCATATTTAAGAAAGAAATACAACATTTAAATTTGACAATTTATGAACATTACATAAATAAATTGTAAAGGTCTGATTTCATGATATTTTCTTGTCCCAATGTCTATAAATCTAAGGAAATTATGTGAAATTTTTTGAGAGAGCATACTTAAAAATAATGTCTCTAAAAGTAAAATAAAAATGTCACGATATTGTATAAA